ATTTACTAAAATCTAAACAAATTGATTAGAAATTTAAATTTAATTCGGAAACGATACTGCAGATGAAATATATGATATTATCATATATTATTATATCCTCGTATACTATTTAACATGCGTGCATATGCTTGTTTAATAACAAGCAAATTGTTCTGCGATTTATGGGCACTTTTGTACATCATTGTTGAATAACAAAACATGAGTATGATAATATACGTTATATCAATTGTGGTTCTGTGAATATTTTATATTATTAGTTGTAGTTCTCGATCATAAATCATTATTTTATTTTTTTTTACAGCAATACCTACCTATCAATAAAGAATAATCCTTCTGTATAATATATGATCATTCGTGTTATATCTATTATAAAAATGTATTTAGTAATACAAGCAAACAGGACTTGAAAGGGACTTGAATACTTGATCAATGATAACAATGGTGGTAATATTATCATGAGTCAACCTTTACAAATGACCGTCTCAAATAAAATACAGAAATCAAGCTACTTAACTCATTCAAYGATGAAATATAGAGTGATCACTAAGCATGATCAGTCGTAATTTTTCTCTCATAATGAATTTATTAAATTATGATTTCTGAAATTCCTAAAATATATACTTAAAGGCCATCTTTTAAAATGCTAAAGATTTTGTTTAAACAATTTGACGAGTTCCCTAAAGTCTTATAGTTATATAAACTTCTGATTTTTCCAACAATAATTCACCTATTTTGCTGTTAATCATTTATCGGATATTTTCAAATTTGTTAGGAAATGTTRTTGGATATAATTCAAAATTCTTACAAGTAGTAAGTATGTCAGTTATCAAAATGCCAGTGACAAGGAAAAGAGCCGTTTAAAGTTTAAATGGCTTTACAAACATATATAATAGATGTGATATTATATATAAATAATAATAAATATAATATTTACACCATATTGGTAAACATTATAAATGTATGAATAATTAATAATACATATAATACTTACACCATACTGACAAATATTATAAATGTATGAATAGTTCATATAAATTCGTTGAAATTTTGATTTAAGTAAGAAAATATGTTTAGAAAAATATCTATTAAAATCCGCTAAACAATTTACAGTATGCAATAAATTAGTCGTAGACTCAAACATTACAAATGCAACAATTCTATTAGAGTCTCTTACTGCGATAAACAACATATAAAATGCACACATCACTAACGATAAAAACATGCAGGTAAAAAATTCACTTCAACATAAGACAGGAAAGGGAAACACGGTTGAACTTTGCTGGATACCTGGTCATTCGGGTATCATCGAAAATGAAATGGCTGATAAGGTAGCAAAAGATGAAATTACTAACTCTGTAGCAACAGCAKCTCAACTTGTAACTAAACAAGATTTACAACCTGTAATAAAATTGCATTGTACCAATATGTGACAGGCAAATTGGAATTCCTTGTGCACAAAACTCCATGGAATAAAAAAAGATATGTTCATATAAACATATCACATATCCCGCATAGCYTCATAGAAAGTTCGAAGTTATCATAACTTAACTACGGATTGGGTACACACAAATCACTCATAGCCATGCCTATAATGAGTAAAAATGATCCCCRATATTATGCCCAACACGCGGCACCGATCTAATAACTAAATACATAATGACMAAATATTGATTATACTCCGAACCAAGATTAGCCTCCAATCTTCCTGAACACCTATCAGAATAACTAGACCTCAACAGTTCATCGCTCACTGCCAACTTCAAGTTTAGCACATGGGAAAAAATGCAAAATAAAATATAAAAACTGTATTAATARTAAATTTATTGATGTAAATAATGTAAAAAAAATGTTGTTACCCAAAGCATATGTCACCAACGGTGAGTTTGTGGTGATAAAAAAAAAATGAAGATTTGAAAGATGATGTTTATTTGTGAAATTAAAAAAAAACCTAAGAWTGTATCTTAATTCTTCACAGAGAATTTTTCGAGTAGTTAAAATTATCAAGAAAATTMAATTATAATGTTAAAATTTGATAAATACTTATAAAGAAGTGGTGAAAATATATTTCACAATATGATATAAATTACATATTTGAAAAATATATGGTAGGTAATGAATCGTTAGTTTTGAATTTTCATAAAACATTTTTGATTATTCAATATTTAATATTTTAACAATACGAATTATTTGAATTTTTCGGCTTTTAATATTTTACATATCTGTCATGGAAATAGTTTTTAATAGATGGTGGTTAACATTAGTTGAAATGTATAGTCATGCAGACATAACATCTATAACACGCACTCTGATGACTGATGTGACCTGATGGAAATGAATTTAACACGAGAAATAAACGTTGTTGAGGGATGCCTAACTCTAAACCCATTAACTAAACGATTTATTTTATTGAATATGTATATAATATAATATACATCATCTAAACTGCATGTCATGAATGCAAGGTTTATATTAATGTTGTGTTTTTGAAATTCAGTTATAGGTATGTAGTATTTTRTATATACTGAAATAGGTACATTATGTAATATTGAACTTTATTTTACAAAATTCATACTGATTAATATATATTTGCACATAATAAAAGTATTTAAACGTTTCGTTATTATTAATTAATTCAGTATTTAATTAACTTAAACTTTTTAAAATGGTTAATTTTATTGTTGTGCTATACAATCGTCGATCGGTTAATAACTACAGTGAAACCTCTAAATACCTTACACTCTCGGTCGCTTAAATGTCGTCCGCTATTTGGAGGTGTCCGCTATTAAGAGGGGAAATACAGTGAGTATACATTTCACCGTTCCCAAAATTCCGTCCGTTATTTGAAGGTGTCCGCTATTGAGAAGTGTCCGTTAAAGGAGGTTTCATTGTATTCACTTTCGTCCATATTGAAATAAAGATAGATTTTTCACTAGACATTCTATTTGGAAATCTTAATTTTTATTTTTAGTATTGAAAATGTAAGATGAAAGTGTGCAAAAGTTAAACCAATCAATATTATATTACACTTGAATATGTGTTATAGTAAAAATATGATATATATTATTATTGTAGTAATGTTATGGTTCTTTTGTCACGGTTACACGAGTAAAAAGACTTGTACATTTATTTATACATAAGAGTATACAATAAAGTTACATTTTACAGTATCCTATGATTGTATTTTCCATAAACATATTATGAAAGTTATTATTTTTTTAATGATAAAAACTATATGTTGAAGACGTATAAATTAAATGGTTTAAAATAATTTTGTTGAGATTATAATATAGGTATATATATATTAATTCTTAAATTTCTCAGCAAATCTATTAAATGTAATAATTTAAAGAATATTGCGAGGTAGTTTTGTTTATTTTCAATATTTTGATACTAACATTTTAAAATAATAAAACCTTGATCAAGATACTCATAATTTGTGCGCAAGGAACTAGTATATTTTTTCGCGGCTGCATAATACAGTATTGTATTATTGTTATACTTTTTGAAACAATGATAAAACCATCGCATTCAAAACAAAATCCTGAGCAAAGTTCTGTCTTCTGCAGTGTTTATAGTAAGTTTTTTAAAATTCTAAGTGCTCATAAAAATAATTTACGACCAATGATTTTGAAAATGTATTGAATATTGTATTAGTAATATTGCTTAAATAAAAATGTTTGAATAATACCGGAAATGACACATTAAATCAAAATATTAACATAAAACAATTCATAAAAATATCGTCGTTGTTTCATTTTGCAAATTCAATTAATTTCATCATAATTTAAATTTGAAACTTTAATTAAAAAAAAAAAAAAATACAAATAATTCAGTCCTAGATCAATATAATATAAAATTTTCCACTTTGTAATTTAATTTTCCGTGATAAATTTAATATAAGTACATTTTTAGAGTATCTTTAAGAAGTTTGATATTTTGTTGATTTGTTTTTAACATTGGCCATTTCACGTTAAATGATGGCTGCTACACGTGGATGTGTGAAACATAGTATCATATTATCAACTATGAACAATGAAAAATATAAAAATAAACCACGATTACAGTAGTTTAAAAACAGTTTAACATATCTTAACCTATTTTTTAAACACACGCATAACATAATATGAACCATATGATTACCTTACTGAATTTGAAAGCTATTTRCAAACTTACGTATACCCATGATATTGTCAATTCACAAATTTGAACTGCTAATATAAAATAATATTAGATGCCTATAATAATATCATTATGTATAAATACAATATAAACAATTTAAAAATATCAAAAATGAAAACTATAATAAATTGTTTTCTTTATTAGAAACAATGTACAGTTAAACAGCCTAACACCATATTTTATTTATGTCGAACGTCTCTTACTATTCTTAATATTTAAATACCGATAATTTATAACTTAWGTGATATACGAATTTCCTTCATAAATATTTTAATAGTTCTTAAAATATGTTGAATACATTTATACAAATAGAATGCATTRAAATCAATTCAGTGAAAATTATTACACAAATCAATTGGCATTTCAAAGGCTAGTTCAAAGTGACAGTAGGTACATGCAATTAGACATCATTATAAACGTTATAATTATTGTTTATTGACAAGAAGATGGTGGAACACAAATCAATTCATTATTGTATGCATGTGAATGACGCACAACTACGTTCCTAAACCGTTGATAGGGTAAATCGAGTACCCAAATATTGACGGAGTACAATAGTAGAACCTATACATATAATCAGTTTTCGATGCGTTGTATAATATTATTACATTTTCCCTGTATACACACGAGACAAGTTTTAAATGTCAAATATCACGTGCAGCTGGAAACGCGTTATTGCACGAACTTCGTATTTATGACAACATACAAGTCTATATATATATCACAGTACGACTTACGAATCGTCCGTGTTTAAAACAATATAATATATTAATATAATGTACGTTTAGCTCGTGAGTTTAATCGATTATTTTTTTTTTCAGTTCCCGATTTATGGGCCTCAGACAGACGGCACAGTCGCCATGCATCGGTCGGTGGGGGCATGACGAACCAACTAGACCCGAGTAAGTAATTGCAGTGACTATTATCGCTACGTATAATATAAAGTTTATGTTGATCAGAGAAAAATTAGGATTAACTAAGCCAAGTATTATCTTAGTTAATATAAGGTTATTTTACCTAAGTTACTACCTATGTTATACTTAAAATCAAAATTACAATTACCCAGTATATTATAATATAATKTATAAATTGATTTTATCTGTAAAAATGTAAGTCTGGATGAATTAACATTGTAAATAGGAAACAAAAAAAAAATATAATTGATTCAATAGATACATATTATACAAATATTTGTGTAAATTATAAATACTAAAAGCTCAAAAATATTCATAAAATATATAKTTTGATACATTTCATAAATTCTAAATGAACGCTTTTCGTAATCATAAAAATGTCCATGATTAAACCTAAGCATGGTATCATTTTATTGACCTTATTTACATAAATAATGGCAACTCATGTTTTTACAATTGTAGTTTGTAGCTTTGATATTCATCCAGGGTAAAAATGCAATATTAAGTTAAACGTTAAACTTTTTATTTAAAAAAAAAAAAAAAAATTATTGTTAAAATATATAGAATCTAATTTGAAACTTTCTTAACATATACAAAATACGTCTAAATTTTCTAAGAATCGTTTAACRATAAAATCATTATGATCAGAGGATATTATTAATCTATACGACTACCAAAATGATTGCTATTTCAGAGACAGAGAATTCATCTTTATACGAATTATTTTTGCAAAAGTTATAAAATCAGCACCATCTTTCAATTTTTCATGTTTTATTTCTTATCATATTGAAGATAATGTATAATTATCGCACCTGATATTATACATGCGTAATGTAAAATGTGGTGATGTTTAAGTTAATAATGTACGAAAATTTAATGGTGTTCGAAATTAAACAGTAAAATAGTATTATTTTATCCATAAATAATCCATTTATTTACACAACATGCACATGCATTTACATAATTGTCGTTTGATATCATAATTGTCTATTATATCACAGTCATATAAATATTTCATGCTATTATCATTTAGCACAAATGCAAGAGTTAAATTCGATTTATTCCCAAAGTTGACGTGATCTTTATGAAATTATCCACCTAGTATTAACATTACGAATATTGAATTAAAGCATTAACATATTTACAGTAAATAAACTGTGTACAATCATATATGATATTTACTCACCTGCTTGATAATTATAAAATAACTTAATTATTAGAGCATTAGACTATAACCTAATAAGGCACGGGATCTTCAAATATTCACAAAGCAGATGACAGGTGAAAGATCATGAATAATTACAACGAGTGACAATAATATACGGAAAACAAAACTTAAGACGACGCATGACGAATGATCATTTGTGCTTTTCAAGTTTGTGACAAAGAGCGCAATACTAATAATATGGTAAATTTGATTAGGAAGATTAATTAATGATCAATCACGTAAAAAAATCRCGAAAACTTCGTTTAAAAATAAAACAATAAATTATTAACAATATTTTCCAGTGTGGTCAACTATAAATTCTAGTAAAATATTCAACTCGGATATTGGACTGATCTGTATTATAGCAGAGTTTAGCTAAAAAAATAATAAATATCTGCAGAAAATATTATTACAATTTACCTAAACTGTTGTACTTATATGTTATAATGAATGTAATAATTACTTTTTACACCAAAATAGTTATACTAATTATAGTTTTTGCAACTAAAATTTAAGAGCCATTATTTTTCTCTGTAGTAGTGCACCAAAACTGCAGATATATGTACACCACTGAAGTTGGCCAAAAAGTATTTTAATTTCGTTAAGTGCCATGTAAACGATCAATCGACGAGTTTATGAAATTTTCTCCAAATTCGCATTTTTTTGAGCTGAGTATAGTATATAACGAGGTGTGGCGATGATTTAATTTCGCTTTCTACGGACACGTCGTCACGCGTGTTCGCGTGACAAAGTTTTCACACCGACAAACTTTACACCCACTCTTTGCGTAGTCGTACACGGACAAAGTTACACAGACCCSCGCACATTGGTTGTTAGAACGGCGGTGGYGTACCTATGACGAGTAGGTATACTATTAAATTTGACATTAATGAAAACGGTGGACCGTTGTTTATTATTATTTATTATAATACTGTGGTATCTATATAATGGTTTTTTCCTGCTTGTTGGAATATGAGCTTACCGTTGAGGTATGCGGTATATCTGACACTATTTATACCTATATAATAACACTATTATGCGTGTATAGTACTACATAACTCACATAAAAATTATATATATGTAAATACAGTGTTGAAAAAAATAAAAAGATACTTTTACAAAATATACATAGCACTCGTACTATCAAAACTAATCGTTCAATAAAAAAAATGCGACTTAAAGTTTTCAAACAATTGTAAATAACTATATGATAATTAAGAATTGCATTTTATATAGACAGTAAGCTTACAACTATACACATAGGTACCAAATTATAAGGATTAATAAATTTAATTATAATTGTATTAAAAAGTTTATGTGGCAATCATCCAAATATTATTGTTTGTAGGTATTTTGAAAAGTCTGGATTAGTAATTACCATWTAATTAACTAATTATTAAAACYTCCAGGTCATCATGGATAAAAAACAATATATAAATATTTTTAAGCTGTAATGTAGCATATATCTATATTCTATATATAATAATCTAGATCAAATTATTCAAGGACAAACATAAGCTACGTTATGACACCCAGTTCGCTAATATCTAATTTTCCGAAACCTAGTTCACCTAYAATGAGTATTCCATCATTTCAATAAAATCATTTATATATTTACATCTAAGTCCCGATTTTTTTTTCCGACTTCATTAACCATTCCCTGGCAGAGGAAAAAATCTAATTTATAATTATGAGTTATAACTTATGAGATTTATTATTTTTTTGTTTAATTTTAATAAAAAAAAAAATTAAAAAATAAATAATACATAATATTACCAAAGCTATATAAACTCATCTTATAGATCAACGCACACATATGCAATAACATCAATATAATTATTAGATTAAACTCGATTTAAGTTAAACAAAAATATCCAACAATTTGGATATTAATTGCAAAAATACATCTAACAAAACAGAAATTCCTCAGTGTGAATTTGGTACCGCACCACTGATCAAAAATAAAAGAAAAGAAAAATCTGTTAGAAGAATATAATGATTTCAGTTAGGATATTCCAAATTTYTTAAATGCCATTGCTAATTTTATTAAACAATGAGTGTACCTACGGAATTGTTTTATTTGAAATTTGATATTATATGTTATTTAATTATTTGTTTATTTTATAACATAATTTTAGAATTATTTATATTTTTTTGTATAATATATTTTTTTAATACAAAATAAAAACTTTTTTTTTTGATTTTTAGACTTAGATGTTTTATCTATGGATATTTTGTCCAATTGTCTTAGTATAAGTATGCCACATGCATATTAAAAGATGAGTCGTATATTCGATTAGTTATATTATCATAATCACGTGAATATGAGATACTGCATCCACCCTTTGGCCTTTATATACATTATATACCTAATATAATATTACGTAGTTCATATAACACAATATAAACAGTATGACACTATACAACTCCCCATATTATATTGATTTTTCGTACCGTCAATTGTCTTGTTATACGGCATTGTTGTGCAGCGCCGTCATAAAATATTATACATATTCAACGCGTATGGAATCGTATAGTTAATTATTACGAACCCGTAAAAAGTTAAAAGTAAAAGTTGGTAAAAGTTCGAACGAAATATTGACATCAATAATATTATACACCTATAATAGGTAGGCGGGACATATTGTTATATAGTATCTGCGTGGAACGTGCTAATACGCTGTGATGTTATTTTTATTGTTTTAGTTGATATTACGATAATATTTAGCTGAACATCATAATAGACGCGTTTATGATGAGTTTCTGTTTTCAAATTAATCTGGTTTAAATATAGAAATACATCAGACAACCAGTAAATAAGAATGTAAATTGTATGCTCTGAACAAAATTTTAAGTATCTATAAATTTAAAATTTTGGCTATAAATAATAACAAAATAAATAATTATAACATAAAGCCTTTATTTTTACAAACTCATTTTATTTTATCATCAACAATATTTTTGTCAAACATTTTATAGTGATTATTTATRAAAGCGCAACATTTTTGTAAAATTTCAAAAGTTTAAGTAAAAAAAAAAAAAAAACAAAGCCAAATCAGAAACTGTATAACTTTCTATTTCAAGTGATTCAGTTATAAAATAGTAGTTTTTGAACTACACCTACAAAATAATGTCTTAGAACATCATATTGTTGTAGGTACACATCKTATGTATTATGATCATTTAGAAGGTAATATATAAGACTATTGGGTTTGGATTTTTGTTGGCCAACAAGTATTAGTCCTTTCTTCGATACATAAATATAAAGAAGGGATTTTAGACGACCTTACACCACACCTCGATCAAATACATTTTGTTTATACTGAAAAACGTTCAGCTAAATCTTGGATAGTTGTTATAGAACTTGAATCTCGAGATGTTTTATTTTTTTTTTTATTTTACATACATCATGTATATAAATTTACATGTGAGCTGGAATAGAAGAAGAGTATCGTTATTTTTGGACCGTTTTCATTTCAAGCCCGTCGTACCAATGATAAATGGTMGAGGGAAATAAAGGTTAWACTATAAAAGAGGTGGCGTATTGTTTGTTCCATAGGCAATATATGAAATAAAAAAAAATAAACATCGAAAAAACCACAAGAAAAATAGTTGAAAAAACTATAAGCCCCATTAGAATGATAGTAAATGGTTGGCATTTTATTTTTAATTTAAATTCTGTGGAATTTTAACTCTTTGATCATTACTACCACTTCCGTACCTATGCACGTTAATAAAGTGCAAAATGTTGTTCCAAAAAAACCACCAAGGTCGTTTCATA